CACACCAAAACACATAGCTTGGCCTTCCCCGGGATTCGTGAAGTCCTAACCAATTAATGAGCCAGCTAACCGGGCCTTAATAGAGACGGACGATTCTGATTGGATAACATGTTTTCAGGACATGAACGTGACAGTAAGCTTAACTTTAGAACATAGATGAGAGAAAATTTATTAAATGTATTGTATTAAATTAAATCAGATAGAAATTAAAAAATAAAAAAATATAATTTTTTATTGAATACATTATTATTAGTATTATTATTATTAAATGTATTATTTTTTTTTTTAGGCCTTCTCTGAAGGCGTAGAAGGCCCTGAAGGTTCCACACTGCTATAATCCACAGTAATGACAACCTGCCATATGAGGCTCTGTTGAAATGGGACAAAGTGAGTCTCTGTCTCTTCCGTACCAGTTACTGGGAAGCCTTGAAAGTTTGTCCTGCATCAAGAATTTTGGTCCTTTACAAACAGAGTTTTATTGACAGTAGAAGTAGAAGCAACTGGAGATAAGTAATGAATAAAAAGAGAAATTCTGTGTGAGACAGCAGAGTGGTGAGTATGACTTAGTATCGTGGAAAGGGACATTATACTGAAGTTATCAAGACATCAGGTAAACATGGAGGAAATGTTGAGTTTAATTAAAAAGGAGCAGTTCAGAAAACAAGGAGGCTTCTTACTAAATATGTTCAAATATACTTTTAGAACAGGAGAAATTAGAAATAAAGAGGTTTTGTAATTCTGGTCCATTAATATAACTATCAGTATTTTTTATTTTAGATGCAGAAATCTAAAAAAGATGTAAAACCCCTTTACATGAATTCACAATAGGGATGTTATGATACACTCAACTCACGATTCGATACAATTATGATTTTCTCATAATTTATTTTAACAAAATGAGATTGAAGACAAATTATGACTGAAAAAGATTTCTTTATTTCAGAGACAACAATTTACAAAATATGTTTTCTCTTATATTTCTTTATCAAATTAAAGAATCCTTTTTCATTTCTAAGGTAGGGTAGGATATAAACTGCAAAACAATGCATATTTCCTTTTCTTTGTAAGTGAAACTGAAGATATAACCCTGTCAACTACAGAAAAATATTTCTTTCCATGTCTTGCCTGTAATCGTTTTACCATTACCTAAGTCTTTACCTGTGGCTGCTATGTCTTTGCCACCATGAAGATGTTACTGATGTAGGATGTCCAACAAGCAAAGTCAAAAGTAGGTATCAAAAAGAATATCATGATTATTTTCTCTGACTCACCGATTCGAACCACCAATCAGGAAGAAAAGGATTTAGTATGAGGGTGAACTATAATGCAGTAAGACATGAAGTTTTTAATAAGACGCATCACTGGATGGAGTATTGAGTGAAAATAAACAGTGTGCTGTGCATTTAGCTGCAGCCATGCTACTTCCTATAGCCGAGCAGCTGGTTGAGCGAGGGAGCAGGTGGTCTTTAAAGGAAGGGAGTCACACCTTCAGAGCCCTGGGGTGGTGTGGAGGGGGTGCTGACAGGCTGCACTACCAATGTGGGTTTGTCACGTGCACACTTGTGTTTCTATATTCTTCCGGCAGCTTCTGTGTCTACTTCAGTGCACCCTTCAGCAGTGTTTGAACTGAAGCAGCAGAGGGTGTGGATACTGTATGACAAAAGAAAATACAGGACTTTAATAAAGTCATTTTGAAACCGGCTCATTCAGACAGCTAATCCTGGCCGTGTTAGTACTCACACCGTCAGCAGTGTGGTAATATTGCAGACCTGCAACTCAGTTACACCCTGCTTGAATCAAATACTGTAGTGCTTACAGATTCCATTAATAGTTGAGTAACACAGAGCCAGAGCAACCATTTAACTGCCTGATAGTGGAGATAGAAACAATCATCAACACCTAATTTACTCTGATGCAACAATCAGTTGTGTTCATTAGCAACCAATCTGTTTTGTAATTTCACTCACCTCAAAATAGTAAAAAATGCCTATCACAAAGCCCAAGGTGCCTCTTCAGATAGCTTGTCCAAAACCCAAAGATCTTCAGTTTGCAATCCTTAAAGACCACAGTAATGGTATGTATCACCATACACAAATTATTCTGTCAATTCAATTAAGAAATGGCTTCAAATAACCTCACAGTACTATACTTTGCATTTACAGTTTCACTCTCCTCCTCCATGTTTTCTTGTCACTCTCTTCCTCAGTGGCGGTCTGCAGACCGGCTCACTGCCACCAGCTGTCGTTATGTCACGTGAGAACAGAAGCTTTGACAAAAAACAAAAGAGAATGTCAGTATATATATGGCAACGTTTATTAACGAGATGTGTAATCTTCAACTGGCTCAGGATCCCACCTGGGATTCAAGGAAGAATTCAAGGAATTCACTGAGGAGATTGTTGTGTTTGTAGACTGGTGGCAACAAGGGACGTGTGGTGTGTGGTGGTAGGACGGAGCAGATGGAGGGGGAGGGGTGTCTGTTGTCTCACTGAAAACCTTGTAGTTCCTAAGACAGATCTTAAATAACTGAATGACATCCATTCTCCAGACTGTGGACCATGTCTTTTTAGACATGATGTGGTATGAGTCCTCCCCTCTCCTCTGTTCCCACTCCTCTCTGTGTTCCTACCCTCCAGCATCAAGCCTGCTGGCCTTCACAGGGACATCGATTAAGCCATTTGAGAGCACATAAAGCAAAACAAAAGGCTGAGTGAAAGGAGAGGCCTGAGTCCCACTGGTGTTCAGCCAAGAGGGAATAACACCAGTGGATTGTGGATGAGGTCTGGACCCCATACTCTGGATCCATGTGGAGTAAAGCTCCATCTGCTGAATTCCATCAAAAAGGCTGTTCTTGTTAATTTGGTGTCTTTTAATATACCTGGTGGATCACTAATTTCATCAGCAAAACATAAGGGTCCTGCCATACTGCTGTCAATGAAACTCAACATTTCCTGCACAGATATTTCACACTAAAAGTCTTCCACTGACTAAAGGAGTATAATCACTCTATTTCCTGGTAGGCTTTAGTAATAAATTTACAGGAAGAATTGATAAGCCAAAATAAGTGGAGTATACTTTAAGCAGCTAAAGGTTGTCCCAGGAGTAGGAAAACCTCATTTAAAATCCCATTAAGATATATAAACTATATATTCAAGATTAAGGTACTTATTTAAATGTCATTTATAATGCAGGTTCTTAAAAAATGGAATTCGATTGTGGTTTCTTTATGTATGGTTAAACATAAATGTGTGGTGTGGGTGTGGTGTGTATAATATACTTCAATATATAATATAATATTTATATATATATAGTTATATATATATATATATATTCTATATATCAATATATGATATATTAGTATAACTTATTTTATTATATATATTAATTCATATATATATTATATTTCTATATTTTAATTTATTCATTATACTTATAATTATCAATCTATATATATTATATTTATATAATATCATATTATAATATATGTATAATACTATAATTATTATATATATTTATATTTATATCACTTATTTTAATAGGCTTCATATATATATTATATATTTATATAATATTATTATTATAAGTATGAATATAAATAATCATTATATATATATATATATATATATATCTATATATTTATAAGTAAACTAGATATATATCTATATGATAGTATACCTATATAGTATACTCAGTATGTATCTTATATTTTGCCGCGCCACGTCACCCCAGCCAGCCCTCATTGCCGGAAGCCGAATGGGAGACTTCTCTACGGTCATGGTTTCCAGAATCGTGCACAAAAGCTTCTGTGTCATAGTGGAGACCTTCGCTGCGAAACTTGCTCCATGCCATGCGTTTTTTGACGCCAGGCTCAAGATTTTTAGCTTTTAATACGGCAGTGTCGCTGACTCTGCAGTGATTCGAATTTGAAGTCAATCCGAAAAGGAGGTTTAGTTCAAACTAGACAGCCCTGCAATGCCGTGAAAATGGCAAGACGTTTGTTCATCAATACAAGGCTGAAAAATTCACCAAACATGTACAATGCAATTCAAAAATGCCCTTTGGATGCCATGCCACGGACACCGCCCTTTAATGTACTGTAATGCCACAAATAGCACACTTTAATAAGAACATATTCTGATGTACCCTGACCAATTTTTTTAGAGGCATCGTACCAAGTTTCTTTATCACACGTGCCGATCCGGAGATATACTTTTTATTTTTTAAAGAGCGCCACCTTGTGGGCAATGACTTGATTTGCACGATGCTAAGTAAAAGGAAATTGGAAAGGGAACTTATCGACCAAGCTTGTGCATAATCGACAAACCAATGTTCGGATGAAATATCAACCCCTCCTTACGAATGTTTTTGACGAAACAATTTACAGGAATGTAGCTTAATCCTGCTTATAGGTGCTTATTGTTTGGAAATATCCAAATTCTTGTGCGAATTGGACAACGCAGCGGAGAGAACATGAAAAAGTTATTTATGGACATTTTGCACTGTAGTTTTGATTTTGAAAGAACAAATTATAGGCGGGAAGGCGGGCCGGCCTATATGGGGGGATGCGCTCTGTGGATATAAGGTTTTTGAATGTGCGACAAACTATGCAGAAGTTATTAGCCTAAACGCACTTTTTATGATAGTAGCGCCACCTAGTGGCCGACCCGAAAGCGACACATAGAATATCCAATTTTCACCAGGCCTGACCACTTTGCCAAATTGAGTTTTGGTATATGTTCAGGGGGGGCAAAAACGCAGTCGAAGGGGGCTTAAAATAATAATAATAATAATAATACTAATAATAATAATAATAATAATAAGTAAAAGAAAAAAAAAGAAAGAAAAAGAATTCTAGCAAATACAAGAGGGACCTCTAGCGGTCGCTGGCTCGGTCCCTAATTAGCTCTGAGTGATGCACCGACCATCACGTGGCTCGTTTACATCATTCTGTCTGCGCTCAGCAATCAACGGTCAGTCTGACAGTCTCTAGGTCCATCTGCTGTCCTAACCAAGCGGCTCCTTACAGAGTAAAAACCGGCCTTACCTTGGCAAACATTTTGAGTCTGGAGCTGGGGTCTCTGGATGTGGTGACCATGAGCTTAGGATCTTCAACTCCAGCCCATTTATACTCATCATCCATGTGTGAGCTGACACCTGCACAGAGAGAGATCCCAAAGATCAACATAAATGATTATACTGATGCTTAGACTAAATGGGATGGACACAGGATACTGTTGATGACAAAAAGAAATAATAACACCAGCCTTCTGCTCCTTCATCGTCATACTCCAGTAGTTTCTGTAGCTGCAAAGCTTCTTTGCGTACCTCGGTTGGCAGAAGACGATTTTCTGCAGAGGAAAAAAAAAAGGGTCTGTGATAGGATCCTTTACATGGCTGACCACTTGTAACACAAAATGCAGTAGGAAAAATGGAACATAATGATCATGCCATCCTACCATCAAGTGCACCCTTCAGCTTCTGTTTCTTCTCCTCAATGGTTCGGAGCCTGTCCTCTTGAGCCTTCCTGTACAGGTACTCTCGTCTCTGCCTCACCTCTCGACGCAGCTAGAACAACATTACACCCAATGACCTCAAGCTAAGTGATACAGGGCCAGGACCATTGTGTAGAATTCACTGACTGCAAGCAACTGAATACAGCTCAGCCTTCCAAGTAAGCGTCAATCAATTTGGTTTTCAATTTGTACTGTAGTATTAGCAATATGCAAAGTTCAGGTACAGAAATTTGTATAGGGAAGGAAAAAAATTGTATCAGAAAATTTCTTCATTGACTATCATATAAAAAATACTGATACCTTTAATTGGAAAAATGCTTAATATCAGATCCGATAACTGGTCTATTCCTACTTCCAAGCATGTAGGAGAAACTATGGTGGCCGCAAAACTTAAAAGGCCCTATCTAGAGCCAGTGTTTGGTCCATTCTTGTTTCGATAGCAAATCTGAGTTTATATGCCAGGAACCATGTGAGATCATTTTCTATTTCTAAGGGTAATGTTAGATGGTGGCATTGTAACAACTTAAAAGATGGCGTGGTGTTAAGAAATGCTCCTAATAAAATAAAAAGGTTAACAATAGTACATAAGTTGTTCTCACTACATCAAAATTAAAAAGTTATATTTTCCACTCAATAACAATCGCATTAGTTTTTTGTATAATATATTGTTTTTATTATTATTATATAAAAGTCTTTCAAAAATGTAATTCAATGTGTGCAGCCATAGAACAGATGAGTTATATTTCAGTTCAGTTTTTACATTTTAAATTTGTATGGAAGCCCATTTCCGCCAATGTGACAAAGAAAAAGATTCTGTAAGTCAAAAAAAAAAAAAACTGAGTATTTTGACTTAGTATCTCAAAATAATCAGAAACTTTTCTTCGTATTACTTCTTACTGTCTCTTTGACAAATATAGACTTTGTGATACAAACGTTAGTTAAGTCATTATTTTGAGATACCAAGTCAGATATCAGCTTTAAAAGAACGTTAGCTGGTATTTTGACCTCATTTTTAACTGCCGTTCTGTGAGTCTTCTGGGCCAAATTATTTCCATAATTAACTTACACGACAAAAATATAGCTAGCAGATTATGTTAGCTTGTAGTGTCACTACAAAATACATTACACACACACACACAAGTCATTTGTCAACATTGATCGAGTTAAGCAGCAGACTGGGCTGTTTACATACAATGAGGATATCAGGCGCACACGATTTTTTTCTAGCTAAGTTATATCTACCGTTGGCTAGCTTGCTATATGAAACTGCGTAGTTCGCTAGCGTAATTCCATACCAACATATTAAATTAACTTCATGCTCATAATCATTTTTAATCAGTTTTCTACTTACCATGATTTTTCTTCAGCTAGTAAGTTAACTAACTAGCAGGCAAGAAGTACTCACATGGAGATAGAAAGACATGCGTACAAGAGTTTCCCTTATTGGCGAAAAGAGGAGCCAATGAGAGCGCTCGATACTGACCTTTCAAAACAAAAGCCCAAAGATTTGGCACAGAAAATCCATCTTTGCTGACTGTGGAGCAAAAAGTGCAACTGTAAACAAGAGATGCACCTTTTGCAGTGGTGAGGGGAAACCCATGGGACATATTTGTAGAATATTTTAATGTAACTTCTTTTTTAGTTTGATTTACAGAAGAACCTTTCAAAAAAAGATTGAAAAAGATATACTTTTAAATTTTTTACATGACATACATAATTAACTTGCTTAACATTTAGCAAAATATCACATTCACAAAATGTTATGACTTAAAAGATTATCCCCTTCTTTTATACTTTTATAGGTTCTTGTTTTCTTGTCGTATATTTCATTTCTTGTACAATTTGATTTATTTTTATTGTATTTTTATCATGAAGTATAAAGTATATATTTCCAACACGTCATTACTAAGTCTTTCTGGGTACAAGTTATAAGACATCATGTAGAGAGCTGATAATATCTCTGTGGGTTGACACTTCCTGAAGCTCTGTCACTAAAAAAACAGCTTCTCTTCCTCCTAACTATATCTGACTTGAGCACAACTACTGTTAGTGTTGGATTATGCATCCTCTAACTTTGATATTGCTTTTGGCTGCAGGTAAGTGAAGACCTTCACTATGATAGAGAGCTTAAATGCAGAGGTTCCCTTACAGAGTTTTAAAATGTGATTACTAGATTACTGGACTGCTGTATTTAGCCCAGTGCCACTTGCTAAAATTGAGTGTAAAGGGTGTGCAACTGCCTGAATCCATAGCATAATGTAGTGACAAAGTCAGTTAGCATATTGTGAACTCTCAAATTGTCTCCTGATATGCCAAGTTTTTCTCTTTTCCATTAACTACCACCATGTACTTGATGTATCGGGTTCACATTCAGGTTACTTTATTTGTGACTGTTGGTAGATTTGGGTTGCAGTAAAAGACAAGGCATTCCTCTAGATGTTTTACAAAAATGACCCACAATAGACAAACATAATAAATGATAAAAGTGCTTCAGGCTATAAAAGTCAGGACAGAGAGAAAGAACTATTAAAAACACAAAAACAACAAAATAATCAGTGGAATAAATAAGATACAAAATGCAGTGAAAAAGAAAAACTCATGTTGCTACAACTTGTTAAAACAAAACTATTTTTATATCAGTTGGTTCTTCATCTTGGGACTATGAACCTTTAACCAGATTAGATTTTTGTATGTCACGCACAAATGACAAGTGCCCAACCCTTGCAGGCTTACAAGACATAAAACAGAAAATTGCAAAATATTCTGCCTTCTCTCCCAAGCTTGGCACAAAAAGTTCAACAACCTACCTAGAGCCGAAGGGTCTGTTCGAAGTTTCTGCC